CCATTTATCTTTTGTACATGGTTGTCACAATCATTCTTTTCCTTTAAATTTCAAAATGGATAGTTGTAAGGGTATCACTTAATGGACACAAAGTTCCAAAAAAAAAAAAGGAAAAAATTCGTATAGAACCCTAATTCCTCATATTATTTCATGGTAGACCCTCTTTTCGTTTTCTTTCAAGAAAATCCCTAAGAAGTTCACCGTACCCCCTTATCTCTTATCTCCATCTTTTATTGACTTTTGACCATAAAAATTAGCCCCAACAAATATTTTTTTTATCATTTCATCCTAAAAAAAATTTAACCCTCTTTTTCTCTTTCTACCCATTAAAAACGTTTTAGAGTTGAAATGGTATAAAAAACTTTTTTGGGGCTAATTTTTATGATCAAAAGTCAATAAAAGAGGGAGATAAGAGATGAGGGCGTATGGTGAAATCTTTAGGGGTTTTCTTATGCTGCTTGGAAGAAAAGCGGAAGGAGGGTCTACTATGAAATAATACAAGGAATAAGGGTTCTATACGAAATTTTCCCAAGAAAGAAATTCTCGAACTTCGTAACTCACCCCAAGCCATCATATTTGATATCTAATGAGTGGGAAGGATTATGACCTCCATGTACGAAAGATAAATGGTGTCTTTGTAGACAATCCCATATTAAATATACACTATTTTATTCCAATGAGTAATCACATAAAAACAAAATTTGAATACACACCTGGAAAATATCTTTTTAGCCCGATTAATATAAGCCTTCTAGTTTGTTAAGATCTTAGATCCAAAACTTATGAAGATTTTTCCCATTTCCTTTTGTCTTAGATAGCTATGTTATCATTAGATGAACAATATTGAAAACTAAAAAAATAGTTTTGAGTTCGTAAATGCCTAGATCTTGAAATTCACCAATTGGATATTCTAGATTCATTGTTTGAGGGGACTCATTTTAACCATATCTATGATGTAAATTGATTTTTTTTTTTTTTTTTTAAATTGACTATTGGTATGAGGAATACGTATGTGCAATTTTTTGGGTCATCAAATGGTACAAATATAGATTTCTAGATGTGTGGTTTCCATATATTACTATACAACCATTACATGAAATGGTTGATTGATTCTATGCAATGGTTTTATCATAATATAATGAAACAATCTAAAAAAACCATGCATGCACTATTTGTTTGACCATGTTTTTCAAACATATACTCTTTTTATTTTGGTCAACGATCACAAAAGAATAAAATGGAAAAATACAACTTAGAAAATATTTTTTAACTAACTTAAAATAGGCCATCTATTTTACATGTTAGAGCTTTAGAAGGATTTGTTTCCTTTCTCTAGATTTTGTAGATAGACTTTGTTATTATTAGATGAAGAATCATAAATATGAAAATAGTTGATTTTGATTTCCTAGAGGCCTAGATCTTAAATTTCACCATATGGACGATTTAGATTTGTTATTGGATGGGGACTTATTTTGATTGTATCCAAGGTGCAAATTGAATTTTTTTTTTTTAAGATTGATTGTCTCGATGAATTGAGTGCTTATGCAAACTTTGGGTAAAACAAATGCCACAAATATCAGTACTTTTGTACTCTTATTTAAAGAGAAATATCCCACAAAAATTAATTTTTTAAAGGGTGTGGTTTGTATAGAGCTGAGGCTCTAAACAATCAAAGTAAAGTGCAACTTCAAATAGTGCCAAAAAATGGGGTTTCAATACTGGAAATCTTTGTGATGACCTTAAAATATATTTTCATATTTAATTATAAAATTTAAAGTTTTAAACACAATATAAGTTGAGCAGATATATGAAAACTTGAAAATTGACGGTTCAAAAATGTATTATAAAATATATAATTTCAAAAACTTGAAATCCATTTTTTTCTCATATCATGCAACTTGATATCCAGATGATTAATTTGAGAATAATTGGGCATCAAAACAACCTCTTCTAGTGAATTTTTGAGGTGGGCTCTAAGTTAATTCTTTAAATTCTCAGCTTTATATAAAATTTTTCTTCCTTTAAAATAAAAGAAACATAGTTTATAATAACTCATTGAAACATTAACCTTCGTACTTTTAAGTATCATGAAATATTGACAATTCCTATGTATTAAGAGAGACAACGAGACCAACCATGAAAGTATCACCTATGGTGATAACTAGAGAGCCTCCCGAGGGCACCACTGGTGACCAGGATCCATCTTTAAATTGCACCTCGAGACCACCGACTTGGTCTTGGCACAGTATGGTCATCATGTTCTTGTCAGAGTGATCATGCAAGCCCTTCACTTGGTTGTCTCCTTTGGGGGCCGTGTACTTCATCATGCGAAAATGATAATTTGTGGTTCTCTCAAGGTCATCATTGTATTTCTCCACACCATAACTCTCCAAAACCATTATTCGAATTAGTCTAGAAACCCCTATTATCTTCTTTGTTGCTGTCTTTACCGTCTCGCTATGGCCAACAAAACCAACAATCGTTAGAAAACTAAAATGTTTTATGAAAAATAGATTGCTAAAGTTTTGTTTAGACATATTTCTGAGAAAAAAAGGAAACAAGGGATGTTTCTAAACAAGCTCATTTTTTTTAACAAAAAATCATACAAAGCAGGTGTATATATAAAACGAGCAGCTAATTTTAATTACAAATCGTGCGTTAGGCTTTGTGTTAGTGTGCTGTCTCTTGTCTTCTACCCGCCATTTGGAATGTCCCGATAAAGACTAGCCATCATTATTACGGTTATTTTTCATAACTCTATTAAAAATATATTTTTTAACTGTATATTTCTTAAATGTTTGTATTTATTTTAAGCTCTTTTTTCTATAACGCTCTTAAAAAAAATTATGTTGCCTGAGTCTATAAGAGGTATTGAGTTCAATTGACGGAGGGGGCTATATTTTATTTCGGAACTCTTTTTATCTTAACTCTTTAAAAAAAAAAATTTCTTACATCTCGTGAATTCTAAAATATGACCCCCTATTTTTTCATAACTAAAAACCAATCTTACATATCTGAAAAGAGATAAAAATGCTTGCACAATCTAGCAAAAGTGACATTTATTTTTGTAATTAATTAAATATGACTATGATATTATATCTATGATGTAATAAATCAATCAATATTGAAGCAAAAAAAACCAATGTTGGAAAAACTGGGCGTTCCAACTGCTAACCGCCCCGTTAGATTGGAACCGGCCATTGGCCGGTTCCGATTTTGGGCTTTTTGGTGATCAACAGGTATCTAAAAAAATTTCAAAAAACTGTATATAAATTCTCAAAAAAAAAGGAATTTGGTTTGTAATGTATTTTCCATATTTTTTTATGTTATGGTAAGGATTAAAAATTGTTTTGGTCATTAATACTCACTTTAATTAAAAAATCGATTCATTAAAATTCATTAATTTTTAACTTCATTTGAATGTGTTTTGTTTTAATCATTATTTATATGCTTTTCATATTTTAGTTGACTTTTTGTTTTGCATCTTTTTTATTTTTTCAATAATTTTTTGATCGCCTAGGTTTTTTCACATACCAATCTTTTTATATGCGGTTAGAATGGTTAAATAAGATGGTTTACCGGTTAGACTGGTTAAACCACTTCAGGGCCTATGTGTTGTTAACCATTCCAGTTTGATTTTGCGAACACTGAAAAAAAACACAAAGCAATATAGTGGTTTTCAAGTTATTTCAATATCTTAAAAAAATAATAATAATCAGAATATTATTATTGATAAATTAGAAAAAAAATTTAGATTTTACAAATTTGTTATTGTTGATCGATATTAGCTCTATGATGCACAAAATCAGTCAATATTTTATCAAAAAAATCATGAATCTGCATAGGACTTTTGAAGTTGATTTCAAAAGCTTCAAAATAAACTAAACATCATAAAAAACTATGGAGAAATTAGAGAGATATAATAAAATTGACAATATTTTCACACACTAACGATGTTAGCTCTTTGATGCACAAAATTAGTAGAAAATGACAAAATAAAACCATTAATTTATATAGGGCTGTTGAAGGTTATTTCAAAAGCTTCAAAACAAGCCAAAATAATTTCAATTTGGTGTAGAAATCATCAAGAATAATGAGGTTTGACAAAAAAAACACGAGAATCCGCAGAGGGATTTTGTAGATAACTTCATTAGATTGAAAATGAACCTATAATCAATTAATTTCGTGAATAAATAAGAAATAATGGAAGAGATTGGCAGATTTGTTTTTTTATGAACGAAGAACCCTAGAAACCTAATAATTTCGTAATAAATGTTGTTCGATTTGGGTTTTGAGGACCCAAATCTTAACATAAACATAATATTGTTGATAAAAACATGGAAAGATTCTAAAAATCGATAAAAATCACTCACAATGTTAATATTTTTAGTTTACAATAGTTTCCGTATTACAAAAAAGGAGTTTTGCATGGCAAATACGAAAACTCGGGTGATTTTCACATTTTTTGAACCGATTCTTCCATGTTTTCAGTGATTCTTGTTCACCCTGTTAGTCGGTCGAGGCCGAGTCGACTCACCAGAGTTTGAAAACCTTGTTCCTAAATCTCATAAGAATTATGAAAATCATATAATTCTTAATTATAAATAATATAACTGTGTTTTCCAATTTTTTGGGATTTTCACTATTTGTTTTATATTTTCTACGCATTTTCTAAGCGTTTCTACATCAAAAGTGATTCAAGTATTTCTTTAAAAAAAGGAAAATTGGGAAGTTAAAAAATCTTCTGGAAGTTAAAAAATCTTCTTTAGAACTACCCAAATCACATAAAGTTTAGTTCTAACTAATACAAAGGTGTTTTGTCAAAAATGGTTATATTTGTTTTTTTGAGTGTTAACGGTAATTTTATTGAGAAATGAGAAATTACAAAGAAAAAAGGCAAAAGAAAACGAAAAAAAGAAGAAAAGAAAAGAGGGGAAAAAGGTGGAAAAGGAGGGTTATAATTCTAACTAATTTGATGGGGATAGATCATCTACAGAAATGGTTACTTTAGCATACAAAAATGTCCTGGGTTGTGACGGTGATCAAATGCTCTTTGTAATTTATGTAATTCCGTAAAGAAAAGTTAACTTTTTTGTCCCAAAAAAAAAAAAATTGAACCCGGAAACTGACATTCAATGTAAAATACAACATCTTTTCATGCCTGACCAAAACCCAATTCATGAAAATTATGAAAATGGGTCAACCCTTTAATGATGTGAATGAATTTACTTGAACTTGGGGTGTCCTTGGGGCCACATGAGGTTGGTAAACTGCTCAATGTTCTCCAACTGCTCGGCATGGTTGATGCTAGTGGCTTCATATAAAGGAGCATGTGATTTGGGCGCCCAATATCCATGGGCAAGAACCTCAGATTGGTTCTTCATCTTCGTTTCCAGGGGAAGATCAAAGAGTTCCTTCATAGCAGAGAAGAATTCCTTCTGCAGAGAATCCGGGAAGTTGGTATCGTACACGGCCTCGAAACACCCTAGGCCTTCAACAGCTTCTCGCACATCTCGTGTCAGCGTTTTCCATCTCTCAGTTCCTGGCTTCAAGACTCCTGAGAAATCAAGGACTGGTACTTTCATGAGAGATTGAGAACCCATGTTGAAGAGAAATGGGATTGATTTTTGCTGGGGTGAAAGGAAATAGGTCTGGATTTTTTTGTGTGTTTATTTGCAAGAGGAGCTTAGTATATATGGGGTTCGGGGCAAGTTCTTTTCCTCTCGTTAGTTACTAGGACATATAATAAGAAACTGGTTCATAGATACTTGTCGCTTGTTATTGGCAATTGATCCCAATGTCAACCAGTTAGTTAAATTAACTGTCACTGTTTATTAATTTATTCGCTATGACATTATTAGGCATGACACCATTGTTAAATTTATTAAGAGTGGAAGGTGATACGTATCATTCATATTATTTAATGGTTTAGGTGAAGTACAA